GGGGCCGCTTGCGCAGGGCAGAGACTATGGAATGGGAGCACTCTGCTAGGACGGCGTGCGAGGAGGGGCGGGTTCAGGCTTTCTGGGGTACTGGGAAGGGGATGAGCTCTAGCGATTCTGCCCTTGATCTGAATCTTGCCGCGGAAATTGCGAAGGCACGGTCTCACCATTGTGTCTCTTTGCTGCTTGATATGGTTAAGTGCACTATCGGTTTTGTTCCAAGTTGTTCGCCAGGTCCAGTTCCCGCTTAGGCTGGGGCGGATGCTCATCCAGAGTTATATCGCCCCCAGGCGGGTCGACGCGTTTGGGTCCCTTTCTGAAGCCTATGTCAGTTTTCAGGACACGTTAGCAGGCTGCTCTGCGGCGTCGGCGGTGATGCTGGCGGTGCTGCTTCAGCCTGTCCAATCGGTAGTAAAGCGTTTTCCCTTGGTAAGGGCGCGGGCCCTCATGGATGATGTGTCGCTGCAGTGGGACGGGCCCGACATGAAAGAAGCCACTGTTGTCTTAGCAGCGGCTCGGGAGCTGTGTCGTGAAGTTGCTCCGATTGGCCTTCTGCTGCAGCCCAACAAGTCTGGATTTGTCGCGTCGAGTGTGGCCGCTGAGAAAAACATTGCCTCGGCTGGCCGCTCTGTGGGTTTCAAGCAGCAAAAGCACATGCGCAAGCTTTGCCATGACTTGTATGGACGGCGTGTCCTGCGGGTAATGGAGGCCCGTAGGAAACGGCAGCTCGACTTGCGTAGGCAGAGGCTTGTCACTCTGAGGAGGTCGGCGGGTGGGGAGCGGGTGGCGGGATTGTGGAGGACGGGATTGATGCCATGCGGCAGCCATGGTGCTGCGGTGTCAGGTGTCACCGATGCCACTCTTCGCTCGCTTCGTTCGTTCGCTGCGTCCCTCCTCGGGGCCAAGAGCCGTAGTCACGTGACGCCGCACCTGTGCACGCACAGGGATAAGTTTTATGATCCTGTGTTTGATGCCACCGTTCCTCTCGTGTATCGATACTGCTGTCGCGTGTGGGACGGCCGCGCAAAAGATTCCAACATGCGCTGTGCGTGGGAGCAAGCCTCGAGAGCGCTCTCGGCGGCCCCGCACTGGTCTAGAGTCAGAGGGCCTGTGGGAGCGGTCATGCTCTCCCTGCAGCGAGTCGGATGGTATCTCGTTGGGCCGCATCACATTAGGACGGACCAGAATGATGTCATCTCTTTGCTGTGCACGTCGCCTTCGGACGTGCGCCATCTGCTGCGCGAAGGAATTTGCAGAGCCCAGGGGATCCAGCTGGTGTCTAGTCTCCCTGAGGCCCAAGGGCATGAGGTTGTCTGGGTCAGGGCTCTTCGACTTGGGTTTCAGAGGCTTCAAGGGGCCCGTAGGGCGTGTCTCAGGGCCCTTTGGGCGGGGGCCATGTGGCCCCCAGCCCGCAAGTTTCAGCACGGATATTCAGCCAGCAGCAAGTGTGACTTCTGCGATCACCCGCAGGGGACGTCCGGCCATCAGTTTTACGAATGCGAAGGTCTTTGGGCGGTGAGTGACGACCCAGATGCGAGCGCTGCAATGCCAGACTCGTGTTTCGAGCATAGGAAGTGGCTGAAAGAGCAAGCGTATGGGATCCCTCCCGACTTCGACTCCCCTGAGTTGGTTTACGGTTTGCCTTCTCTCCCCGTCGAGATCCCCGCTGTAGCTGCTCAGACGCAGGTCTTCTCCTGGGGTGCGGAGTCTGCACCTTGGGGATTTCGCGTGCACACAGACGGGAGTGGCCTGGCGTCGGGAACCCCAGAGGCCACGCGCTGTGGCTGGTCGGCTGTCTCCCTTTCTCCTGGGGGATGGCCTGTGAAGGCCGCGTTCGGTGCCCTTGCGGGGCCTGCCCAAACTGTCCCGAGGGCCGAGCGCCAGGCCATCGTCCATGCTTTGAAGGTCGGGCCGTGGGGCCTGGAAGTTGTTTCGGATCACCTGTCGGCGGTCAAGGAAGGGAACTCGTGGGACCCTGGTCTGGCTGCTGGCAGAGGTACGCACGCTTCGGTTTGGAGGCAAATTTTTGAGCTGTACCAGGGCAGGGATGAGCGGCCTGTTTTCCGCTGGACCCCTGCCCACCAGGATTTGTTTACGGTCCTTGAAGGCCAGGCGTTCCCTTGGGATGTTGTCGGTTGCAGGGTTGTCGATTGCATTGGGAACGCCTGGGCCGACTTCTTTGCGCGACTAGGGGCTAGTGAGCACAAGCTGCCAGAGCTGGTCACCTCAGTGTTGCGGGAAAAGATCAAGGATTGCTATAAGACGCTGGATTTCCTGTCTCGGGCGGCGCAGCTAGCCGCTGCAGCAGCTCCAGACTTGCCTGCTCCAGCGAGGGTTAGAGGAGACGGTTTCCTTCAACTCTCCTTGCTCTCTCATGATTTGGAGTTAGTGGAGGGGATCCCCGAGGCGGTGAGGTGCACGTGGTGCCACTGTTCGGCGCGGACGGCCTTGAGCAGGAAAAAGCTCGATCAGCCTGGTGCGAGATGTGCCCCGTCTCCCCATCCACCTGTTTCTCTCTGCTGTGCGAGCCTGGAGGCGCGGAGGCGCCCTTCCCAGGGCGCGATGTGTCGCCGTCCAGGACGCTCTCAGGGCGCTGGGGTTCGAGTCAGCCACCGAGGCCCCGTCGGAGCCCCCTGACACTTTTGTCTTCGAGGGTCATGTGGTACAGGCGTCTGGCCGCTACTTGATCTGCCGCCGCTGTGCGGCGCACTGTCTCATTGAATCACCGAGCTGGCGGAAGCTCCTAGCGCCGTGCTCGGGCGCTGCGTCTTCGGGCCAGGACTGGTTCAGGGACGAAGTGCTGGCTGGGCGGGAGCCGCTTCCACCGCCCGCTCCAGCGTAGGGCCGTCGCCTTGCGTCGGCACTGCGCAGGACTGGGCGTTGGGTGCGGCTCGGCGCGCCCGTGCGCGCTTTAATGGGGGTGCGGGCCTTGCCTGCGCTACCCCGTGAGGCACGGCCTCCTCCACGTCTTTTCGGCTAGCTTCCGTCCTCGGATGCTTGTCCTTGGTTGCCTCCTTGCCCCCTTCCCGAAAACCGGGGGGGGTCACTACAGGTTCAAACCCACCCCCCTTCCCTTCCCGAAAACCGGGGGGGGGGTCACTACCAGGGGGGGGGTCACTACCGGTTCGAACCGCCCCCCTCCCGAAAACCAGGGAGTGGTCACTACGGGTTCGAACCCCCCCCCCCCTCTCGAAAACCGGGGGGGGTCACTACCGGGTCGAACCCCCCCACCCCACGCTCACTGCCAGCAAACGACTCCCGTGTCCCTACCACCGTCCGCACCACATTCCCCACTGCTGTCCCCAGCACCACTGTCTTCACCACCACTGTCCCCACTGTTCCCACCACCGTCCCCACTGTCCCCACCAGTGCCCCCACCACTGTCGCACTGTCCCCACTGTCCCCACCACTGTTCCCACCACGGTTCCACTCTCCCCACTTTCTCCACGGCCCCAACCATTGTCCCACTGTCCCCACTGTCCCACTCTCCCCGCCGCTGTCCCACTGAGCTGTCCCACTGTTCCCACCACTGTCCCCACTGTCCCCACCACTGTCCGCACTGTACCTCTGTCCCATTGTCCCACCGCCGTCCTCGCCACCGCCCTCACCACTGTCCCCACCACCACTGTACCCTCCACTGTCCCACTGTTTCCACCACATTCCCACTGTCCTCACACCACTGTCCCCACCACCACCGTCCCCACCACTGTCCCACTGTCCACAGTGTTCCCACCATTGTCCCCGCTGTCACCACCAGTGCCCCCACCAGTGTCTCCCTGTCCCCACTCTCCCCACCATTGTCCCTCCACGGTCCTACTCTCCCCACTTTCACCACGGTCCCCACCACTGTCCCACTGTCCCCACTGTACCCACCACTGTCCTACTGTCCCCGCCACTGTCCCACTGTGCTGTCCCACCGTTCCCACTGTCCCCATCACTGTCCCACTGTCCCCACTGTCCCCACCACTTCCCCCACTGCACTACTGTCCCACCAAAGTCCTCACCACCGCATTCACCACTGTCCCCGCCACTACCGTCCTCACCAGTGTCCAACTGTCCCCACCACTGTCCCGCTATCCCCTCACCACTGTCCCCACCACCACCGTCCCCACCACTGTCCGCACCACTGTCCCACTGTCCCCGCACCACTGTCCCCACCACCACCTTTCCCACCAGTGTCCCAGCATCCCCACCATTGTCCAACTGTCCCGATCGAGGGGCGGGGATCGATTGCCGGCGGCAAAGGGGGGGGTGGGGTTCGAACCGGTAGTGACCCCCCCCCGGTTTTCGAGAGGGGGGGGGTCGAACTGGTAGTGACCCCCCCCCCCATTTCATGATGGACGGGGGGGGGTTCGAACCGGTAGTGATCCCCCCCCACGGTTTTCGAGGGGGTGGGGGGGGGGACGGGTTGGGAACCCCTAGTGACCCCCCCCGGTTTTCCGCCAGCAGCCTGTGGAACACGCTCTTTCACATATATATATATATATATACACAGAAACTCCCAATCAACCGCAAAGAGGCCAGCTGGTAATCAACATTGCCTTGAATACCATCATGTTCACGTTCTTCAACCTCCTGCTCCGCACCACTGCATGCACTGAATTCAAAACTTCCTATATGAGTGCGCGACGTCCTTCGACTCCACCCCTGGACAGCATCACGACAATGCAAGATGGCCCCAAGATGGACGAGATGTACATTTGACGGCGTTTTGGGGTGTTGCTCCAACCTCGCCGCACGTGCCGCTCGAGTCACATGGCACGGCTCCCCCAAGTCTGGGGTTACAAGGCGACACACGTTCTGGCCTCAAGTGCCCCCGCGAACAGTTGCCACCCAGAATGATGAATTAGCACGGTGGCGTGACTTGCCGCAGGACGCTGCATAATGAATCGATGGTTGCCGTCGCAATGGCATGCCGAACAAATTCACAACGCGGCGTCAGACATCCAAGGAGCGCCGTCGCCGATTACCAGACAAAAGAGGATACCCGCTGTTCCTGATCAAGACCAATCTTTCAACTGCGAATGGTCTCCAGTTGCCGCACGCGTGCCATCCAGGGCGACCCTCCACCAATAATCCATCGTCAATCTCTTGATAACCTCTATTCGCAGACGAGGGTCGTCGTAATACGGTAGCAGCTCCTCCTTCCACCGCCTCAGCTTCTCAACCGTGAGTGCTTCTGCCGTCCAGCTGTCGACGAAGACGACGGGCAGGAGCGAGTAGGCGGCGTCCAGTGGAGAATGCTGTATGATGGGGATGGCCCCGGCTGCTATCGCCTGGACGGCCCGCGGACTTGGATCGAGGCCACCACCGTGGGCACAAAGGACGAAAGAGTGATTCTGCCACCAGCGGGCACTCCAAGTCCCGTTCTGATCTGGGACCCACGCCCTGAAGTCCGTGAATGCGCTCCACGGGCCGTGTCGAGGCATGCAGAGTTCGAGCACGCTCCTCCGGAACTGAAACTGGGGATGCGTGTCTATGACTCCCGATGCATTCTTTGAGGGAAACGAAGAATGACGTAAGCATAAAAGAACTCGGAGGTCCCCGCGGATTTCTCGGATCCGCGCTGGACCACCCGGGTGGCGCCTCCGGCGCCGCCACCAGCGCGCTCCGCGCGCCAGGGAGAGGGGTCCAGCGCGGATCCGAGAAATCCGCGCGGACCTCCGAGGTTTTATGTTTATGTCAATATTAGTTCCCCTATCTTTTTATCTAACTCTTGATGCAACCTACCGTTGCAGACCATCATCCACCTGCCCTCCATGTGAGCACGAGACCGTGAGTCATTGCTGGGCTGCTGGGGTCCCCTGAATCCTTTCTCTTGTCCTACCTCCTATCCGCCGCCCCCTCCAATCCCGGCTCTACTCCGCTGCGTGCGATTCCTGCAGGGGCGCCGCGAGGCAGCCAGGAGGGCCACGGAGGCTTCCAGAAGTGTCACACGAGGCCCAGAAGAGGACCTCAACATCTCAGGACGGCTCGACATGGCCCACCATCCCCCTGAGACGCCCCAAGGGGGCCTCAAAAACCCACGGCCAGGGCCCATCTATACCCCAGAGATGCAACAACAAAAGCTGGATGGTCGCATGCTTTTACTTTTTTAAGTCGGGCCTGTCCTCCTACAGGCGACTTTTGAACGAAAAATGCAAACTACGCAATCAATCCCATCAGCCCTTTGGGCGACAGGTGGTCGAATGAGATTCCTCTCCCATCTTCCAAAGAACCCCTCTTCCCCTACGGGGAGGGGTTTACCCATTCCCTTACCCCTCTCCTGGACTGTTTTTTGGGGGTCCGCGAGGTGTCAGGGCGTCCAAAACGGCCTCGGCGAGGAAGCTAAAATGATTAGTTTTACTCAGGCTTTGGCCCCGTTGGGGCCTCTTTGGGGGGGGACCGAACGTGGCCCCACCACCTCTCTGGGCGCCAAAATCACTGGTGTTACTAAGGTTTTGGCTCCATTTTGGCCTCTTCGGGGGCGGGGCCCTCTGGGCGCCAAAATCATTGGTTTGACTAAAGTGTTGGCCCCATTTTGGCCTCTTTGGGGGGGGGGCGAACGTTTCCCATCTCTCATTTGATCGATGGCCCCAAGAGGCCTTCCAGGGCTTCCAAGAGGGCTCCAAGAGAGCCCCAAGAGGGCCCCAAGAGGCCCCCCAAACGGCCCAAGCGGCCTCCAAGACGCCCAAGCTGGCCTCTAAAAACCCCGCCATGCCCCAAGAGGGCCCCAAGACGGCCCCAAGAGGGCTCCAGAGGCCTCCAAGACGCCCAAGATGGCCTCCAAGACGGCTAAGATGGCCCCAAGATGCCTCCAAGACGGCCCAAGATGCACCCAAGACGGCCTGAGATGGCCTCCAGATGGCCTAAGACGGCCCAAGAAGACCCCGAGAGGCCTCCAAGACGGCCCAAGAGGCCTCCAAGAGGTCCTCCAGGAGGGCCCGAAGAGGCCAACATCATTGATGTTTCCCATGTGTTTGACAGATGTTGGCCGTTGCTTCTTTTCGGCATTCCGACGGCTCAAGACGGCCCAAGAAGTCCCCAACATCGCCCACGAGGCCTCCAAGATGGCCCATGACGGCCCAAGAGGCCCCCAAGACGGCCCCAAGAGGGCCCAAGAGGCCTCCAGGACGACCAAGATGGCCTCCAAGACGGCTAAGATGGCCCCAAGATGCCTCCACGAAGGCCCAAGATGCACCCAAGACGGCCTAAGACGGCCTCAAGATGGCGCAAGACGGCCCAAGAGGCCCCCAAGAGGCCGCCAAGACGGCCCAAAAGGCGTCCAGGAGGTCGTCCATGAGGGCACGAAGAGGCCAACATCACTGATTGCCCGAAGGCTTTTGAAAGAGTTTGGCATTTGCTTCTTCTCTGCATTCCGACGGCTCAAGCCGGCGCAAGAGGTCCCCAAGATCGCCCAATAAGCTTCCAAGATGGCCCCATGACGGCCCAAAAGGCCCCCAAGACAGCCCCAAGAGGGCCCCAAAACGGCTGAAGGCCTCCAAGACACCCAAGATGGCCTCTAAGAGCCCCTGCTATGCCCCAAGAGGGCCCCAAGACGACCCAGACAGGCTCCCAAGACGACTTCCGACGGCGTCAGACAAGCCAGGAAGGCCGTAAGACGGCCAAAGAGGCCCCCAAGAAGCCCCTAAAGGCCCCCCCAAAACCCTCCAAGAGGCCCCCAGGAAGCTCCCAGGAGGCCCCAAGAGTGCCCCAAGAGGTGCCCTAAGAGGCCTCCTCCTCCTCCTCCTCCTCCTCCTCCTCCTCCTCCTCCTCCTCCTCCCCTCGCCCCCACGCGGCCCCCAGGGATGGCCCGAAGAGGCCTTCCAAGGCCACCCCATTGCTCCCAGAGATCTCTCGGTTCATCATGGTTGCTCGCTTTGTTTCCCTAGATGTGTCCCTTCGTCCCTTTTCCCGTCAGCTCTCGTGGGCAGGGCTTCTGAATGGGCTGGTGGGGATACTTTTTTTTTGATCTGCGGCCCGCAAGGAAGAGTCCATAGGGCGTGTCAATCGGGCTGACTGGGGCACAGAGCCAGATAATTTGCGAACCCAGCTGTCACTGTCGACAGCCGACCGCACATGCAAGCGTGCAGAACAAATTGGGGAAAACGGGCAGACGAAAGCACTAAGCCATAGAGAAGCAGAGCGGCCACTCTGGTGGGGATACGCGAAGCGTGAAGAGTACCCCAGAATGGTCAAATGCTCAAAAAATCGTCCCCTGAACATTCCCCCTGTAGAGGGACAGGCCCGACTTGAATGTACTTGTTCGGGTCAATGGCCTCGTCTGGTTCCCAAGAAGGCTTCGGGGCGCCCCCGATGGGCCACAACAAGATGGCCCGAAGGTTGCCCCTGGAGCCTCTCAAATGCCGCCAAAGCAATCAAACATTATGACCCAACCAGGCCCTGAAACGGCCGCACGACGCCACTCATGACCCAACAACGGCTCCAATACGGCCGCAAATGCCCCTCAAGAGGCAGCAAGGTGACCTGAAGTGGCTCAGGATTGCCCGAAGGCCCCAAGATGCCCCAAAATGGCCGCCATCCGCCGGCCCAACGGGCCAACGGCGGGCTAAACAATCTCCGGTAACAGCTTTAGAATGCTTGTAGTTCACGCGCGCGTGGCTGCCCCGGGGAGTCCCCGGGCGAAAGGTACCCATCACGGATGCCGGGCGGCCCCCTGACGGTCCCCATCACGGAGCCGGAGCTCCCGGGGGCTGCCTTCAGCGCCTTCACGAGCGTCTCAAGAGGCCCCCAAGTCGGTCTAAGAGGGCCCAGCGTCACCGGAAGTCTTTCCAAGAGGCCCAAGATACCCTCCAGACGGCTCCAACCGCCTCCAAGACGTCCGAAGACGCCACCAAGACCACTCCCTAGATGCCCTCTAAAGGAAAAGCTCAAAGATTGTCCTTGGCTTTGTTTTCAGGTTTTCAGGTTCTCACCTTGTCGGCCGCCGACGGTCTAAGATGGCCCAAGAAGTTCCCAAGATCGCTCCAAGACGGCCCAGTAAGCCTCCCAGAGAACTCCAAAACGGCCCACGGGGACTCCAAGACGGCTCAAGTTTCTCCCCTGACGGCGCTGGAGAGCCCCGAGACACCTTCAGGAAGACCCCTGGAGAGGAAGCCCAAACGTACATGTCGAGCGCTCGGCCCCCAGAGGAGGCGTCCAGGCTGCCCCGAGCGGCCCCCCAGAGCCCCCCAAGAGGGTCCAAGAGGCCTCCAAAAGGCGCCAAGAGAGCTCAGAGAGCCCCAAGAGGCATCCGAGGCGCCGCCAGGAGGCCCCCAAGAGCCCCAAAACTGTCACACGGGAGCCACCCCAAAAACTCTCCAGAGAGGCACTGAGGCGCATCCGTGAGGACTCTCGCCCATAACCGCAGCAACGACGACGCGCCACGAACGCGCCGGAAAACGCCAACGGTGGCACGATATAGGCCGGCGGAGTGAGCGAAGCGATAAAATCAACATTGCCCAACCAGGGCCAGCGAGGGCCCAAAGTGACCCCCCCCCCACGTGGCTCCGCTGGACGGGCGGCGGCAGAGAGCGCAGCTCTTCGGATCAGTGGCCTCTCTGCGAGCGGGCGGATCCACTCCGCCTTGATGACGGGCCACCAGGACGGGCCGCAGCTGTAGTAAGGATGGCAGAAAAAGCCAAGAGGAATAGGCATGAATTTGTCATGAAATCCAGAAGTGTCCAAATTCTCAACGACCCACCGCTCGATCAAGGGGGAATCCAAAACTGACCGGACACGGTCCAGCAGCTGCTCGGATGAATTCGGGTACCGTTTGTCCAATTGCCTCGGTATCGTCTTGTCATGGGACAACGTGAAGAGTACGATGGGCTCCGTGATGTCGGGCAGCACGTCCCGTTCGACTATTTTGATGATCTTTTCTATGCCCTGGTCGTTGTGGAGGAAAACGGTTCTCGGAGGGGACCTGTTCTTCATGAGAGGAGACCAGGACGCACGCATCCAGTCGCTGGCGAGACCGAGCGCAAACACATCCTTCATGTTCTTGTTCATGACACGCGTT